GATCATAACGTAGATACTACAGTACATGTACATACAATTGAGAAATGATTAATATTATTGATATAATATTAATGATTAATATTATTGATAAAATAATGTACAAAAGACATGTAGACATATACAACATAGACATGTTTCTTAATTACTCATTGTGTACATGTACATGCACATACATGGTATGATCATTAATTCCTAGAACATGTACATAGTAACAAGAGTAATTGTATTCTTGATAGTAAGGATCATATCCATGTATATAACATATCATACCATATGTCTCCATGCTATGATCATGTAGGTCATGTAGATCATGTACATGTACTTGTATGATCATTAATTCCTAGTACATGTACATGTGCATGTTTTTACTTCCATCAGGAGTATCTCAGTGTTGAGAAGAGTATGGAATTCCTGAAACTTTTCTATCGTCAGTTTCTGGTCGAGTTTCTTACCAAAGAAATGGACTGCTAATGCTCCACCCACAGACGAAGCAACATTACCTAATATGGACAACAATCAATTAAAAAATTGAATAATGAATTAAAATTAATTGAAATTCAATTCATAGTATTCTATTGCAGCTAGGTCACTTTCATCAGGTCAAACTTTAATTTTTGGGAGGATAGAGCCAACTAGTATGTTGGTTTCATTTTCCTTCTGTGAAAAGACTACTTAGCATACGTACCATTGATGACATGGTCCCTGTGTCTTACTCCCATTGCTGTGGAGCTGAGGAGAACTGACTGAACCGTTTCAAATTCATCAAACTCAACTTCTCCATCACCGTTGAGGTCAAACATCTTAAAGGCTAGCTCAAAGTGTTTCATTGGAGCTAAAACAAGAAAAAGAGAGAGAGAGGGAGGGAGGGAGAGAGGGAGGGAGGGAGGGAGGGAGAGAGAGAGAGAGAGGGAGGGAGATAGGGAGAAAGAGATCATATATCATATGTATACATGTATAACTATGTGTATGTGACTCACTGGCTAACATTGTTAATAGAAACAGGAAATCAGAGAAAGAGCTAAGGCCATGTTGACCTAACTTGTTAAAAACACTGTTACTATCCTCCATACGACCTAGACCCTCTTTCTCTATTGTCTTGAATAGAGAGGAGGAGAGAAAGGAAAAACAAAATACTAAACAAAATACTAGAGAATTAGGGGCAATAATAATCTCGTTTAAAAATGCTCATAACTCAAAAAATTGAAGTCAGAATCAGCTCAAACTTTCTACAAAGCATAAGTACATCAATATGTATCAGAAAATGTAATAAAAATTTGGGGTGATTTTGGAGCCATTTTTCAGAAAAAACCATGGGCTATAGTACAGGGTACTTTCCAGATTTTAGGCATTTTCTTAAAATGACCGTAACTCGAAAAATTGAAGTCAGAATCTGCTCAAACTTTCTACAAAGCATAAGGACATCAATATGTATCAGAAAATGTAATAAAAATTTAGGGTGATTTCGGAGCCATTTTTTGGAAAAACCATGGGCTATAGTTAAGGGTATTTTTCAGATTTTAGGCATTTTCTTAAAATGCCCGTAACTCAAAAAATTGAAGTCAGAATTTGCTCAAACTTTCAACAAACCATAAGGACATCAATATATATATCAGAAAATGTAATAAAAATTTGGGGTGATTTCGGAGCCATTTTTCAGAAAAACTATGGGCTATAGTACAGGGTAATTTCAGATTTTAGGCATTTTCTTAAAATGGCCATAACTTGAAAAATTGAAGTCGGAATCAGCTCAAACTTTCTACACAGCATAAGGACATCAATATGTATCAGAAAATGTAATAAAAATTTGGGGTGATTTCAAAGCCATTTTTTGGAAGAAACCATGGGCTATAGCCTTGAGTATTTTTCAAAAATTGGCCCGTTTTTTAATTCAAAAAATATTAAACGGAATTAGCTCAAACTTTTTACACAACATGAGTACATCAATATGTATCTACAGTACAGGATATAGAATGTTTACATTTCCTATTAGTTCTCAATACTTACTTCAATAGTTACTGTTCTATAAAGATCCAGTCCGTATTCCTGTGGCTGCATCGTACCAGGAGTAATAGTTCTGATGAAATCCTGTGGTGTCATATATATATTACGTATACGAATATTATTAAGTGTTTGGTCATAACATAGATTTCAATTGATTTATTATCATTATTATTATTATTATTATTATTATTATTATTATTATTATTATTATTATTATTATTATTATTTATTGTGTCATCATCACTGTTGATGTTTTAATATTATTTTAGGAATTTAAATGTTAACGCCTCTAAGAGTCACAGAGTTAT